AAAGTACGACGCTACTAAAATCATGATATCTTGGACATGACTGAAGATAGAAACTTAATTCTTATGGATTTGGAAACTTTATAAAATTCTGTGTCAGATAATCTTTGGTCAATGATATTTTTAACGTTGTACCTGTACATTAATTTTTTCTAAGATTTACATTTTCCTTTGTTTTTTTCTGGTTTAGACTTACTCATCAAAACAACTTTTCAATTAGGTCTCGACTTACTTTTTTGTCTAGAAGAGGCACTCGATGTTTCTTGTTTGAAGTCCTCGGTCAAAATGAGATTTCCTATTCACGTCATCCCCACTCCTATGGAAATCTGTAGAGATATTAAAACATTTAAAGATGCCCGAAATATTGAAGAAGAGACTATTTATTTTGTGTACGATAACAGGTTGCTAATTTGAATATCAAATTTCAAACTCGGTTTTTGGAGCTATTCCAGGTAGATCGTAATTTGATTTAATTATCTTCATCCTGGAAATTTAACAAACTGCGGCGCTGAGGAAGTTTCCTAAAACTAATCGTCGATGGTTATTTATCAGTTAATCAAACGAATAAAATTATTGATACCCATATTTCCTTCTTTCTCGTTTTTATTCAATTTTGCAGCATGAGATTAGAATTATGGTAGCAAACAACATAGAAGAATAAGCAAATTGTAAAAGTACTATTCCTCTGTTTATTCTCCTTCTTCCATAATTAACATGTGAACTGCGACACAGACTTAAAAAATTATTCTCCCATTACCTCTTATTCTAATTTCTTCAACTGTTGGTGTATTTCAATTTCCACATTATTTTAGTCAACTGCGTGGAAAATTTTGCGAATATTATATCGATATAATGCGTCAAGTTGTTGTTATTTTATCACTGCCGAACAGTCATTCAGATTATAATAAACGAGAGGTGTATTTGAGAAGGAGAACAAACATTATGTGGTGTGAATTGTGACAGTATATTTCGAGCAAGCATAACACCACAATTCCACTTTTAGTACTGACCAGAGTTGATAAATTCCATGTGCTGTGTAAATGGGTTTTAGAGCAATTTTCGCGCACTACATTATGAGCTTATGCGTTCTTTGATGATACATTTATCACATTAAGTGTTTGGCAATTACTATTTTATACATAGATAAAGCAATCTAAAGCCACAAAACAATATTATTCTTCTGCAAACTTTCTATTTTCTCTTTTTTATTATTAAAAGTGTTTTGATTTTTGAAACGTAAACTATTGCTTAAACAAAAATTTAACCTCAAAATTAATTAAAGTGGGCGGTGTTATCATATGGTCACCTTGCGAGGGACAGTATAAAAGGTGCCACCCTTTGTCAAATTCATCAGTCCAGAGATAGTTGTCTTGATGAGTAAGTCTAAACCAATACTTTGGCTGGCTCGAAAATAATTTGAGGGAAATCTACTGCATTCTCTGTTTCTGCTAGACAACGTCATTTCTTGGACGTCACACTGAAGGAGGTATCACTTGTTGGGTCTACGACTCTAACAATAATTTTAAAAGGTAAGTAACTAATACTTTAAAAATTTTTGCCCCTATTTAATTTCTCGATTGATTTCACAAATAATTCTTAATATACTGTCACTGGCGCGAATTATGATTTTTATTAATAAAAATCTACCGCCACAAAATATTTCGATCAATCTAGTAATTTCAAAAGGTTTTTCACCTTTGTTAGAATAGATATGAGACTATCTTTTCCCCCAAGCACTGGACCCAGGAGGCTATAGTTTCTTTCTTTTATCGAGTATTTCTGCTTCGTCGTTTCCCGCTGGCAAGACCGTAAAGTTCCTCGTGCTCTTCCCACTTGAAATTATTATGAACGTAGAAAAAATAGAGAAAAGAATTTCCGAGCTCTGATGCTGAGGAAAGATCCAAAGGAATGATGGCTCGTTTCCACTAAAGGAATTTGATTAAAATTATAGTAGCCGAGTCACAAGGACGAGAACATATCTCGTATTCTGTTTCATAACCGGGCAATAGCAAATGAGTTTTGTAAAAAGGAAAATATTAACCTTAAACTAAATGAAGAATCAGGGTTATATGTTTTCGCTGTCTGAAAATACCACATTGTAGAAAAAAAATTCATTCACAGCACTAGAGATTTTATTAATGTTATTCATTTCATTAACGTCAATAATTTTAATAATGGAACAGTAATTTAATAAATAAATTTAATGCAATTATTCAAGAAAAGTGTTACAGCATCCTCTTTTGAAATATTCTCAGCTTATTATTGTAGAAAAAAGATAGAAAAATGTGTCAGGTTTCAGTGCTTTCGTATTTTATAATTAGAGAGTTAATTATTACCTTGAAGATGCTAATTTTAATTAACAGACTATTTTCATAAGTTTATTTGCAAGTTAAAATCTACATTAATATTATCATCATCATAAAGTTGAACTTACGAAGAAATAGAAGTTAGGAAAAATGGGAATAAATTTTAGTCTATTTTTTCAAAAATATTAGGAGAAAAAAATAGTTTTATATATAAATGTGTATGAACATGTAATCCATGGTGGTTGAAAATCTTTCTATCACAGTAACAACTTTTGTAACTAAGGGCGGATTTAAGAACACTTTTAAACTCAAGTGCTTTAGGTTTGAAAGCTTTTAAAGAGCAACCTTTTAGTTTTTGAGGACAGAAGTATAGAAAACTCCAAATTATAACAGATGTTAAAGAATTCTAAATTTTTCCACACTAAGTAAATTAGAATTTCAAATCGAAATATTAGATTTCGTATATTGATGAAAATTATTTTAATTCGTTTTCAGGGTCGCTGATTGTGAATTCGACGTCTGATTTTAAAAATTCAAAATGGCGGATCTAATATGGCAGAGGACTTTTTTAAAAATCGAACCAATTTGTTTAAAAAATTTTCACTAGGGGGTTTTTGGGGTCGCTGCTTACAAATCCGATGTCGGTTTTTAAAAATCCAAGATGGCGGATCCAATATGGCGTACGAATTTTTAGAAATCGATCAAATTTATTTGTGAATCCGCTGAAAAATCACTACCTTTCTTCAGTGTCAGAAAAAATGACTCTTTCTATTTATTTGTAAATTGTAGACTTTTACAACAAGTCTGTTGAAACGTGTGAATGTCACTCAGAAGTAATAGCTTGAGTACTAACTACAATCCATTCTCTCTGTGTAATTACTTAGAAGAGGCTATATCTATAGAGAATACATCCGGGATATTTGAGTTGGGGCTAACAGGGTGGGGAAAGGGAGAGTCTTCTTTGACAGATGAGGGATCACAGATGGTCGAATACATTCGGATGGACAAATAGAAGGATCAACAAACACATCTCTCATTGTAATTGATTCCAAAGTTAAAAATCTCTCTCAATTATAATAAAATTTGTTAAAAAATTAAATTAAATAAAAGGGTTCAAATTTCCAATACGAACTCTAAATTTTTAATTACCAATCTGATAGAATCCTGTTGTGCTTTTGCTTCAAATAGTAAAAGAGAATTAAAAAAAAAATCGTACAATGGAAGTGCATTAAATTTTACAATTCTTCATGAAAAATGTGTAATAACTTTAAAAAAAATTTATTGTTTCAGAATGAACAGTTTTATGGTTTTGCAATAAAAATGTAATCTATTCTTTTTTCAATATTCAAACAATTTTTACTTTGTTTTGCAAAAATTAGAAAAAAATATTCTCGAAATACAATTCAATGGAAAAGGGAAATTCATTTAAATACCGTATAAAGTATAGCAATTTTAGGATTACTTTTTATTGTGACTGACTGAAATTTAAAAAAAAATTTCAAATCACCGAATTTCCGACAATATTTCCCGAAGCAGAAGTCAAACGTGACCTAATTTTGAGAATATTGCGATAGGTGACCGTAAAGCATGGAAAGAGATTGGAAAAGGGAAATGGTCTTGGGATTCAAGCAGCTATAGCAGATATCATATTTATGATATTGACACCCTATTCCGTTACTATCTTTATCTATATTCTTTTATGCCGTTTACTACCGTAGGACACAGGTCATCACACCGGAAATGGAAGCTAGCTCCAAGAGACAAAAAATTTTACCCTAAAAAAATTTGATGATAAAATCTGTCAAGATTCCTTTCGATATTTACTTGTGGTAGAGAATTTTTAAACTAGAGAAAGTTTTATTCAAATATTTTCCACTTTATGCCTCTGTGGGTATAACGTCAATATTTTATACACCTCATAACGAACGCTTTTTTGGAAATCAATCTACTATTTATTTCCGAAATATATTCTCTGCTTTTGTTGCATTCTTTTAAATTTGTCCTCTTCTAATACTTTCAAATACATTTTTCATTACTTACTACAGATTGGTACATCTCTTGAATATGTATTTTTCGGTATTTTCCATTAAGGAACTGAAATTGCTCTTTTTCAATTTTAAAAACATAGTTTTATTGGAATCATTTTGTAAAAATGCTGCACCAGCTTCTTTATAAGCGTGCCTTTGAAATACCTGCATAAAAATATTGAAAAACTCCTATTCAATGTAAAGTGCAATTTAATCTTAAAATTCAATAGAAAATTGTTTGGTATATTATAAACTTGATAAATTTTACTATTTTAGTTTTGTTCTCTTAGTCAAAGATCTTTGTTCTGTAAATTCATTCTAATGGTTTAAAATGAACTATTAGAAATATTTTAATAGAATATTAAGAAAATTTTTTAAATTTTGAGTCTATTTTTTTATTTGACAATGAACTGGTAATTACAGTACTGGTTTAGACTTACTCATCAGAACAACTATCTCTGCTCTACTCTGTCGATACGATGTAGTTAAAATTAAGTTCAATAACGTCAATACCGTTCCTCTCCGTCTTCCTCCGTTCCTCTTTGGAACTAACCTATAGTTAGGTCTCTGGCTTCTGATTTATCCTACTAATTAACGATCATTTACGATCATGGCAAATTAATTTTAAATAAACCTGATGTGGGATGAGGATGAATCAATGAGTCTACTAAAAATTGTAAGAGAATATTTATTTAGAAACTAGTGACCTGGGCAGAGAGTACCACCAGTACATCTTCTCAACAGTTTATTGTAAAACAGGTTGTTTATATTAATGAGACATAAGTGTATTCTTACGCCTAAAGTACCACAGTACCCTAAATTTCCCAATTAAATAAATGCTTATAGTTAAACATTCCTGAACATTTATTAAAGTGGGACATTTAATGGCTGTTTATATTAATGAGAAATTACAAATTACCATTTTTCAATAGCTTTAGAATTGCGGTTGCACTTTTTTTCAAATTCTAAAGCCATATTTACATTATCTGCTAGCCAATGACTATGTCTAATCCCGTCACTATTTAAATGCAGTAAATTTACACGTTCCTCTCCAATTAAAATATTAGCACTCCTCTTCATATCAATAAATGTTTGCGGAAGAATTAAATAGTATTTAGAATTTTTAATAAAGATTTTTAAATCTACAATAAGGTACAATTCAAAAATCTCTATTTTAAGATATGTCTTAGTGATATACTTATTAAGCTTAAGGAGATTATGTTTTTGGTCAATAGAATCCCATTTTACATTGTCTTTATAACAAAGTGTCAAATCATCAAAAGCTGCATATGATGTTCTCCCAATTTTCCAATTTCCTATATAACAATATATATACTTTGGTAAATGTCTATTATTTCTTTGGGGCCTTGCATCAAACTGTCGAATAGCCAATCTGTGCACAGCTTTCATTATTTGACAATAAATAAAAGATTCCTTATCATTTATAAATTGTGGATTAGACAACAAACTTTTTATTGCGTAATAATCGTCAAAAGTAATAGCATCAAATAGGTTATTTGCCAAATAGTCATTGAATAACTCTCCTAACGGAATATTTATAAAACTTATTTCTTCCTGGCTGTAAATGTTAGAAATACGCTGAATTGCTTGTTGCTTAGTTAACCAATGTTCAACATGTAAATTGAACCTTAATTTTTCATAATAATCAAAATTTTGAAGCTTGAAGGATTTATATTGAAATGGTGGACTTTTACAATCTTTTAAATTTGAAGCAAAATTTGTCATGACTTTAGGTGTTGAAAAGGCGTAACTTCGCAAAAGTCCCATTGCTGTTGATTCATTGCACACCTTATTGAGATACAGATCTATAAGTTTATATCTTTGCCAAAAAAATCTTTTATAAAGATCATTTCGTTTTTCTGTCGAAATATTAATATTTGCCATTGCTGGTTTTGTAACAAGCTTTAAAAGTTTTGTAACAATCTCAGTGGTTATGATTACTTGAGATATTGAAATCATTGGATGCACAGATTTTTGACAAATGAACTGATTCAATCTATGCTGAATTAAGATAGTCGAAAATCCAAAAAGAATACTTATTTCAACGTCAGTAATTTCATTCATGAAAGGAATGACATTAAGGTCATCTGTAATATGTGGCCAAATTGTAAACAATTCGCTGATTTTTTTATTTCGAACATAATTGTAGAACGTAATTAAAATGCTGACTTCACTTGACTTTGGAATCGATTTTGGATTTTCAGTTATTTTATTAAAATTTTTGATATCGTTTACAGAATTATTGTAAAATTTGTCACTGACCTTCATATTGAACTGCTTGTTGTTTTCAATGACTAAACTTGCTCGTTCACTGTCCAATTTATTCGAAATTTTGCACATTTTTTGAAAAACGTTGAGCAATGAACTTTTATTAAAATTCCTCATCACCAGTAAACATGTTAGAAATAGAACTGTCACTTTAACATTCATTGTAATGGTTAAAAATGAACTATATCTGAAATTTTTTAATAGAATATTAAAGAAATTTATTAAATTTTAATTCTATTTTTTTTTATTTATTCCCTTACCTTTCTCAAAATAAATTTATTTCTAACAATTAATTATATTAAAATTTATTTCACAAGAAATTAAGTTTTGTGTTTAAATTAGAAGTATTTTATTCACAGAAGAATGTCGTCAAAAACTGCCACGTATTATTTTTGTCTATCTATAAATATGGAAATTGTAAAGAGTTAATATTTGCAAATATATTTTTTATTACTTTAGAATTTCATGACATCTATTAAATGTGAGGTTAATAAAATTTGATTTATAAAAATAAAAATATTTTTCCGTTATCTATTACACATAAATAACACTTACTTTTTTATTGTATTTCAAATAATGTTCTTTTTATTAAAAAATATTTAAAAATGTAAGAACTGGAATTTTTAGATTTAAATACTTTAAAAGCTTAGGAACATTTATTATGTCAAAGTTATTTAAAGTGAAAAGAATAAAGCAGAATTAATTTTTTCCAAGATTTATATTTTTGTACTGGTAATTGCAGTACTGGTTTAGACTTACTCATCATAACAACTATGTCTGCTCTACTCTGTCGATAGGCTATAGTTTACCTTGTGTGGTCCCAGATTAATTATGCAATGAAATATTGCCTAAACTTACAGTACCGTCCGCAATTGTCAGTCCACCCATTTTTAAAGGAATGACAAAAATTTTTTAACATAAAATTCATGAAAACTAAAATTTTTTTTGGTTTATATTTTGAAAGACGATAAAATTTTAAAAAGAATAAGACCTTACAGAAGTCATTTGGCCAAAATTTGTAGAAGATATTCCTAAAAATCGTCATTTTCAATGTTTTACAAAAATTTAAATAACTTCTAAAATAATGAACGCTTTTTAATAATCTTAGGCTTATTTTAAAGGTCTTTTTCTACGGAATAAGAATTACTTATAGGCATTAACCTGTCATTTTTAACTTGGAATAAGCATGACGTCAAAATTGGACAAAAAAATTTGAAAAATTTGAAATCAATTTTTTGTACTAAAAAATATTCTAGAACATATATAAAACATGATATGGTGTAGATTTTTCAAGAAAATTTAATAAAAATATATGTTTGAATTTCAAAAATTATTTTTCTTTTAATAATATTATTTCAAATTTTTTGAATTTTTTTGTCCAACTTTGACGTCATGCTTATTCCAAGTTAAAAATGACAGGTTAATGCCTATAAGTAATTCTTATTCTGTAGAAAATGGTCTTTAAAATAAGCCTAAGATTATTAAAAAGCGTTCATTATTTTAGAAGTTATTCAAATTTTTGTAAAACTTTGAAAATGACGATTTTTAAGAATATCTTCTACAAATTTTTGGCCAAATGACTTCTGTAAGGTCTTATTCTTTTCAAAATTTTATCGTCTTTCAAAATATAAACCAAAAAAAATTTACTTTTTATGAATTTTATGTTAAAAAAATTTTGTCATTCCTTTGAAAATAGGTGGACTGACAATTTCGGACGGTACTGTATAATATAGTTTTTTATTTCTTTTCCGACTTCCGTTAAGTTAATGCTCGATTTATAAATTATGCCAAACTGTCGAAAAATTGAAAAAGTGTCATATTGTTAAATTCTGGAAATAGTAAAGAAAGATTAAAAATTAAACGAATGTAAATTAAATATGTCGATAATACACCTAAATATTAAATGATGAGCTTATTTGATAAATGCCACACATATTTTCCACAAACATAGATTATTCCTGTTTGCTCATATTGTGGTCGATTTAACATATCACCGATTTCGAATATCACTGCAAATTGGCTTTGTATTTATATCAACTAGTGCCTTCATGAATTTTGTAAATTTCTGATGATCATTATTGTGCGAAATTGGAAAAGAAAAATTTTGTTGATGGACGAGCAGGTATTGTTATTCGGATTTAAATGAAATGTGACACTGAAAATAAGCAACAATAACGCTCGTTGTGTTCATATGGGAATATTATTATTAATATTATATATTATTAGGGTTACGAATATTAAGTAAAGTCGATCAGTAGCGTAATGTTTACCGAATTTGAAACGAGCCCAATTATGAGATCAACTAATACACACAACACGATGTCCACTATTCAGTAGACACCGGGGATAAGCCTCCGCAAATAGTGACATTAATTGCCAACCCTGCACCCTATTTGCATGTCATTATTCAGAATAATTGATGACTATTGGTAACCTACGCGTTGAAACTCATTACCATAGTTAACGTTAGTTCGTGTCATGTCGTTGGTTGGCTTCACTGGTGTTAAAAGTCTTCTTCACCAACAGGAGTAGCTTTTAATCACTCGACATTGTTCTACCTAACAAATGCTAGGCTTTACCATACTTGTAGGGGATACCTAAGTACGTGGGATAAAAAAAATAATAATAAACATAAAAATGTTGCTAAAATGGTAATAAAAAATAAAAATCCCACTCCATGTTCATTACAAAATAGACAAATTGTTTACACAAGGACACAGACACATAACATTATTCGTTGTTATGATGAGTAAGTCTAAACCAATACTTTCGTAAATTAAATATTTCTCTGTAGATAAATAATTTTAATTGTTCAAAAATAGAAATATTATTTTTCTATGGAATAAATAAATATCTAACGTAAAAGTTAAACATTTTTCTTCTTTTTAAAAAATAAAAAAAATTTCTTAAAGGGAGATTCTCATCCAGTGGGTTAGAATTTTTATCAAAATTCCATGAATTGGTATTCGTAGCGGAGAGATGCTGAGAGAATTCGGAAGGGATGTGGTATCTGCAAGATCATTCTGGCTTCAATGCAGGTTGGGTACATATATACAAGCAAACATAATTTTCATTCTCTAAAGATGCATGACATTATCCTTGTTTCATATTCAGGAGATTTTCTCTAATTTCACAAAAGTATTTTCTTGCTATCGCATATTACTATGAGAGGAGAAAATAAATGATTAAGGTACTCATAGCTAAATGGAGCTTTTATTTTTCTGAAAAGTCATCAATAAAACTAAAAAGGGAGTTCAACATTTCAATTTTAAGAAATTTAATTTATTTGCTAAAGTACAGCTTAGAAGATGTGAAATTAACATGAAATCTTATATTGTCAAAAATGCGTCTGCCTCGTATACCCGCAATGTTAAAATCCAATTATAATGGTGTTTAAAAGACATTTCAGTAGCTTCAGTGAATGTAGGATAAAAATAATTACAAAGTTAAGTGCACCACTATTAATGTTAAGTGGACTAAATTTACAAAATTATAAAACATTAAACTCATAAGGCGACAATTAGTGGCGTGCTACTAATTGTTGGTTTATTTTTCAGAGAAAAGTATAGTGGTCTGAATATAACATACTTATTATAGTAAACATTTTACATGCCATAAATTTCCAAGATTAAAATAATTATTTTTAAACGTATCGAAACATTTTTTTGAAATACATCGAATCTAATTCGAATTTTATAATCCTGCCTGATTGCTCAGTAAATTTCGAGAGTTAGATTATGTTATAATCTTTGAAGATTTAGGAATCACCAGAGTAGGAGTTCTAAATTATGTACAAAAAATTAGTTTTTAAAGTTACAAGTTAAAAATTCTTGTTTAAATCTAGGTCGAGAATAATTTCTCATGAACATTTCCTACGTATCTAAAATCTTCCTCATGTTGAGCACATTTACAAAACATGAAAACTAATCTGCAGATATAGTGAAATATGTGGCGTTATTAAATGATTTTCTATTCGGTTGGAGGAGTACATTTCAACTGTGTATAAGCCACGAAACGGTGGTCTTTCACTCAAAAGATTTCAGACTGCTCCATAATGAAACGAACGACCACGCGGATAAGCATTAAAGTGCGGCGAGTTTCACGACATATTTCGCATTTAGGATCCACGTGGGAGTCAGTACAGAGCTTTCTCCTACGTCCAAAGTAGAAATTTAACTCGCGCGCCCTTGCTCTGACGGCCCGACGTGAAATTTGCAAACTACATCGGCGGAACGTCAGCTCGAAATATACCCTAGGTAGTAATTACCTCGAGAAAACCAGGTCAGCTCCCACAAGCCACGAGTTCGATTTTTTTTTCGGTCCTGTTGCCAAAACTTTTGCGAAAAAAAAAATGGTTTTTTACACGTCCTAGACGTAATGAAAATGTTGAATTTATCATTTAAAGGCGAAAAACTGAGGGCTTTATATTAATACAGAGTAATCCGCAACTTTACTTTATGTGAGTAATTCTGAGCGTACTGCTATCTTTTCCCCAACGTCTTTTTATACTTTGCGATATTGATCCATAGATAAACATAGTCCGCGACTTAACTTAAATATATTGTATTTAATTATGAACTCTAAAACTATTGATCCATAAGACGTAGCTGATCAATGATGACTAAAATAATATTGCTTGCCTCCTAGTAAAATCTATTTATATATGAAAAGCACCCCAAATTGTCCTAAACTATTTTGCAAGTAACTGCCAAATAGTAGTCTGTGACAATCTATTCAGATGAAGAGTTCAGTCTAAGAATCTTCATCAAATTAACAACTTAAGTTTGTGAACAATCAGTAAATTAAGTAGAACTTATTTCGTGAACCTAACAACAGTCTTAGCACTTGTAAAACTTCTTATGCCGAAAAAGAACTTAGTTTGCAAATCTACCAAGCTGAGAACTCATAATCCTCGTCAACCAAATTAGATTTCATCTTGAAAAACTTTTACTTGAGTTTCATCAAGTATTACTATTCAGGTTCAAGCAATTGAGCAAGAATTGAACATCAGTTTCAATCGTATATAATTCCAACTAATTTCGACGAGAGATGTACATTTCTAAAAACTACTAAAGGACAAATTATCTTTCGACCTTTAAAGCATTCGTTTCCTTAGTTCAAAACCTTACGCTATGTAAATAAATCAGGCAAATAATTAAAATACCACTTCAAAAGATTCTAGATGTTAATAATCGCTGATCCCTCCTGACATTGCCGTCGAGACCTAGTTTCGCCAGACGTCCGTTATCGCTCACCTGGAAATTAACAGAGGGCGAATGGACGCCAGCAGAAGGGTTTCCCTCTAACGGATCGAAACTGATGAAAAGTCTTCTTTGATATATGCAACAATGACCAGAGATGATAATACATAATACAAGTAGTTTATCTGACGTGACATAGATTTGTTTT